GAAGGATACCAACGCGCGGATCACCCGTTGGTATCTAGCATTGCAACCCTTCAAGTTCAAGGTGATCCACAGGCCGGGGGTACAGATGGTAGTAGCGGACTTCCTCTCCCGGAATGGGGGGGGGGCTGCAGGCCGGAGGGCTCCCCAGCCTGAGTCAGGTGGTGGGGGTATGTGGCAGGAGGGGCGTGGTTCAGCAAGGTCTGCATCGGGAGAGAGAGGCAGGAGACGAGCGGTGCGTAAGTAGGTCAAGTGCAAATGATAAACACATGTGTCTTGTTTCAGTAATTGGTGTGGAGAGACCGGATAAAAGGGGCCACCTGGAACATGATGGGAGAGAGAGACGGACTGGGTACGCGAGCGACCCGGGGAGACGAGTGTAGATACACGGAAGCAAGTTGTGTTATGTTTGCTATGAGTTATTGACTGTGAATCTGACAGCGCTGATTGAGCGCCGTATTGTGTGCACTGGATTTGCAGAGAGACTGAGATTAAAAAGCAATGCTGTGCATCTATATTGGATCGGATAGGAATCTTTCATTTACAGTATGTGAGTAAACAAATATTTGTACTGTGTCACTATTGCTTTGTTAGAGATCGCTTGATATGTCCTGATTCTGTGTACATGTCTAAAGTCACAGAAGGCTCCTATAAAGGACGTAGCTTGTCAAACAGACACACAGAAAGTTAGTTTACAAAGCAAAACTGTTATCCAATCATAGCAGTGGGCGTTTACTTCCAAGTCTTCAATGCAGCACGCCCATAAAAACCGAGCGTTTCTCGAGCCTGCCTCAAAACCAGGGTAGAAAATAACCTATTACTTATTGATTTTGATGTTTTTGAATGTAAAAACCATGCAAACATCATAAGTGTACCTCAGACAACAGTATAAAATAATAAAAAAGCCAGTTCATGACCCCTTTAAGGAATGACACAAGTGACTGCTTTTAAGAACGAGTCACTGAATCATTCATGTAACTGACTCGTTGGAAAACACTTGATTTATTCCACAAAAAAAAACACTGTTTCTGCTTTGTCTTTGTAAATATATTTTTGTGGTAGAGCAAAAATAGACAAACTGACAATATTATGTCTAAAATGTATGATACTGAACATTAACTTTTTTTTTGTGCATTTAAACATTTCAGACTAACATGTGAAAATGTATGTCCTTACAAACGGAGTAACTTATTAATAATACATACAACAGATACAGAAAGCAAAAGCAAGGAGTTTTTTTTTCATATTGAGAGTATCATTTCACGTTTTTAATCTTTTAATTATTCAGTATTCATTAAAAAATGCATTATATAATGCATTATAAAGGTATTCATAATGAACATTGTAATGTATTATACATTTTCATAAATAATTGTAATCAAAGTTAAAATGCATTATAATATTTGAAAGTTTGTTTTTCATTTGTTTTAAGTAGTGCTGTCAAAATTAGTGCGTTAACACTAAACGCATGCAATTCATTTTCTTTCAGTTTAACGCATTAAAAATATTGAATAAATTACTATTTTTTTAAAGTCTAATAAATGTTCAAATTGATAGCTCTCAAATATACTGTAATGTTGAATGGCTGTAGTCAATGGTTAAATATTAGGGGGAAAAAACAATTTCCTAGAGACATCATTAGTATTGGTATCAGTGATACACGCCTTCAGTCATAAAAAAGATGCCATTAAACAAATATTAAAAATATACTGTTCTTTATGTTGTTTCTACATTAATTTGAAGATTGAATGTAAAATTATTGCAACATAAAAGTATATTTAAAAACTTTAAGGTGAAGTGGGATTAATCATGATTAATTTCAGAATAATGTGCAATTAATTAGTCATTTTTTAAAATCGATTAACAGCACTAGTTTTAATGCATTATACTTTCTAAAGGTGTAACAATGAATAGATAATGTATTATAACTGTGGTTACAATTATTCATGAGATCATGCAATGCATTATAAGGTGCATTACAAGGCATAATTAATGCATTAAAACTACATTTATAATGCTATTTCATTTTCCAGCAGGACCTGCCAAAAGTACCAAAAGTTAAATGACCATGGTGTTACTGTGCTTGACTGGCCAGCAAACTCACCAGACCTGAACCCTATAGAGAATCTATGGGGTATTGTCAAGAGGAAAATGAGAAACAAGAGACCAAAAAATGCAGATGAGCTGAAGGCCACTGTCAAAGAAACCTGGGCTTCCATACCACCTCAGCAGTGCCACAAACTGATCACCTCCATGCCACGCCGAATTGAGGCAGTAATTAAAGCAAAAGGAGCCCCTACCAAGTATTGAGTACATGTACAGTAAATGAACATACTTTCCAGAAGGCCAACAATTCACTAAAAATGTGTAATTTGTTGAGATAGTGAATTGGTGGGTTTTTGTTCAATGTGAACCAAAATCATCACAATTAAAAGAACCAAAGACTTAAACTACTT